TTGCCGACCTTGAGGTTCACGAGGGCGTGCGGGGCCTCGACTGTACCTGGCGGGCGGCGGGCGCACATGCAAGATCTGAGCTAGCCCTCCCTGGTGTGGATAGCGTCATGCCTCCCGATCCTGTTTGCGCATGTCTGCATGTGAGCATGTGTGGCCTGTGTGTTGGCACAGCATTTTGCAACCGTGCGAGAAAAACAATTTCTTTTGATCCTCCTCCTCCTCATCCTCATCCTCACCCTTCTCTTCCTCGTACTCTTCCTTCTCGCCGTTCTCTCCCTGACAAATCCTCCGTTTAGCGCTACTCGTCCTCTAGCCTCTTCTTACCTCTATGCCCTCCTCTCCCCTCCTCCGCAAAGCTACCGACGACACTGGCTCGACTGCGTTCGCTGAAGCTCGGGCAAGGAATACGATCGATCATGCTTCCAGCTGCTGTGCTACCAGGCCAGAGAGGGGGGAGGGTACGTTCAGAGATCGGTATACATTTCAACGTCGAAATCTCTGTGTAAAGTTCGTCGTCGCACAAGCCAGCGTTCGCTAATATCTCAAACGATGTCCTCCAAGTACCGCTCCCGGACAAGAGCTTCACAGACAAGGGGTGGTGCATGCTATCTCGATATCCAGATGCAACGCTCTGGTCGTACAGCTCTGAGGATAATGATGCAAGTCGCTGCCTGACCGAGCGATCGTGGTGGGCGAGACCGACGATTGTCCAGGGGAGTTGACGCCAACAAGCTAGTTTCAATCGCAAGCCCATCTCGATGTATGACTTCGCCGCACCCCAGTCAGTGATGACGACGTTCCGATCTGCGTCGCCCAGGTTAGCAGGGAACTTGCTCATCCATTTCGATAGCCCAAGATCTGCAATGTCCTGAGGGTGGGGCGCGCAAGAGACAGCAATGCACATTCAGTCAGAGAACAGAGAAGCGTGTGAATGTTACATTGCACAGCACCACATCCGAATGCAACTGGCGGTGTCGCAACTTTGGGGTGGATGCGTTACACAAAAGCTACGGGCGTGTTCATTGGACATCGGCAATCGAGCCCCCATGCGTCCACATCGACAGCAAGCCCTGAATGACCCCTGGGTCCACTTATCTGCTACGCAGTTCTGCTAAATCAGTGGTGGGGGGGGCGAAGGCGGGTCCTGGAAATATGTATCGATATCGCCCGCAGCGAGCTCCGGCCCCCTGCAGCCTCCAATGAGGCATGATCTGCGGACCTTTTTGGCATCATGGCAGGGGCACCTCTCTGACCATGTTTGAAGCATTCGGAATAAGCAACCGATTCCACAAATCATTCTACTGTACGCATGGAGCATGGGATCATCAAGCGTCCCATGGACAGCGAAATGATCGAATTGGCGATCCTTCGCATCGTCTTTCTTCTCCCGGCTGAACCTCCTGATGTATGCGTCGACGTTCCATTTTTCTGCGAGAACCTCAATCATTGGGACTGCTCTCGTAACGAAGAAGAAGAAGATCGAAAACCACCTCTGTTCGTACAATGTGCCAGAAAATGACTTGAACAAGTGTTCCTGAGGAGAGCCTTGCAAGCATGTGAACCGGAGACGATCGAGATGGTAATTGTCACCAAAAAGTCGTTCGAGTATGCGAAGCTTGACAAAATGATCTTGCAAATGAGAGAACCTAGCCGTCAAATCCTTGGGAATGTTGGATAATATATGAAGGGCTCCTGGTACATCGATTGCATTATACATGAGCGGGCGAGGCGCCGACCCCCTGAGTGCTGGATCATCGCCGCCGCCGATGTCTGGCTCAAGACGCACTCCGTCTTCCTCCAAAACTTCAGGATGAAACCAGTTTGGCAAAACATCGAGAGCTGATTTTATTTTGAATGATCTCATTCCACTGTCAGTGCCAAGGTCTGATGTGAAAGATACATATTCGCTCAACGATCCGCAACGCCTGAAGGCACAAAGTAAAGTTTCCTCAAGGTCTTCATCTGTTCTGCATGTCATGTTCCCTGCACAGGACATTCGGAGGCGCCACGAGGCCCAGAGGTTTCAAACCTGCCCCCAAGAGGTTCCTCCCAGAGCCCCTGTACCTTCCCCCCGCCAACCATCGACCCACACAGCGCGCACACACAAGCGAGATCCTAAAGAACATCCAAGAGGCATCATGCTCACAATCCAGGTTTGGCGGCGGGATTGGCCGAAGGCCTTTACATTTCCCCAACGCAGTCAGATCAGAAGACTCCATCAGCGAGGAGGTGAGGAAACAAGACGACAAATGCTCGATACTATCGCAACCCTCCCCTTTGGACATGGGGATTTTCATGTTAATGTGCATGCATTCTCTGATTGTCAATTCCCATGAGTAGATTTCCTCTTTGGTCGGGGAAGGGTTTGCATGCTGTGCGACAGTGAGGCTGTCGACCGCGGTGGCAAGTCTGGCGATATTGGCTATATCGACGTACTGCTCCTTGCACTGAAACCAATCCTTCCCAGCCTGTGGACTTGAGTCGGCCCACCCCCACCTCACGACACCAGCCATAGAAGCGAAGTCTCGACGGACCGTGAGCAGGTACGCAGCGTCGAAGACCACTTGGGAGCTCGGGCCGAGGGCGTTGGATCAACTCCCTCGCTCCCTCATCCCCAACCCCACGCCACCACACAGGAGGTACCACTGGAGAAATCTAGCGTTCATCCTCCTGACTCATTCTCCTCCTCCTGCTCCTCCTCATCCTTCTCCCTCTCCTCTTTCCTACGCTCGATCCTGCTCATGCTCGAAGGCACGAGCCTGCTTTCGTCCGAATTTAGGCCCCACTTCCAAGACAGGCTTTCAAAGAAGACACAGGCCTCTTGTCTATTGACGCTGTGGACCACCTTCGACTCTCTCTGCTAGGCAACCTGGGTGAACAAGCCCAGGAACATAAGCTCAACTCCAAGGCTCGATACTTTACCCAAGTCGGAAGCATTGGAAACATGTGATCGCATGATGTGGGCTACAACCATTTGCGACGGTGAGCTCGGGGATTCCACGGCTGGATCCACTCCGCCGCGCACTGGTGGGACAAGATGTTTCCTAAGTTCCTCCAGCCAAAGCAAAGACAATTCAGCACACATCTGTTCGTCCTGAGCATCCTCTGGAGAAGCCTTCTGAACAATGGGGAGCCACCTACGCAGCAATTCCATCAACGCAACAACTTTGTCCAAGGTAATGCCGCGAGACGTGTCTCCTGCAACATGAGACTCTCTGGGATCGCCTACAACTCCGCTTCGCCATCCTGGTGGCGGGTAATATTTGAAAACAGGGGGCAGGATCCTCCATCGGCCGAGCCAAATGATCTCTTTCCACTGGTATTGTAGAAAGGAGCTGGCCATCTCGGTGCCAACAGCAAACGCACAGGCTCGGCCAATGTCAGCAGCAACAAAGCCCCATCTCTGAACGACATCCCGAAGCACACAGTCCGGTTGCGCATACAAGCTACCTCTAACATGACCGACGTTATCAGCATTGAAATGGCCAGGATGGAGTACACATCCAGCGACCTTACCTCCTCGGATCCTGCCGTCCTTGTCAAGGCTTCCAATGACAACACAAGGCTCAGCAAACGTGAACAGCTCGTCTACTTTTAAACTGTATGCGTCGGAAGGGCAGCCCAGTGAACGAGACATTGCATACCCCTGCTCGCTCCATGCAGTACTCTGCCCCTCCCACAATGCGCCAGGTCGCACCTTGAGCAGTCCGACGATGGTGTAGGATCGAATTGTGCTGGAGCGGCTGCCGACCTCCGACCCGCCAATGCAATGACGCATACAACAAATAGTCTCATCGTCCTCCCGTCTGCTACTTCCCTTTTCCTAGTGCACCTCCACTCTATTATGTTGTCGTGCGTGTTATGCTGCTCCTCCTCCCTACTTCCTCTTGCTCTTACTGATGTCTATTATTATGCTCACCCCTTTCCTTTCTCCCCACTCGACATGTCTCCGTCCTCTCTGCTCAGGTCTACCCTACTGCACATCCCCCCCTCCCCCACGACCCTTTCAGTGTAAATACGGCGCCGCTTGGCGCCACCGTCTTGGGCACCACTGCGAGGGGCGGCCCCATGGCGCTCGCACAGCCATACAAGGGACATGGCTGGGAGCTCGCAAGCGCCGCAAAGGGGAGGACCTGTTTTTGGTCAGCCCCGGGGGGGGTCCGAATCCGAAAGGGTCGCCCAACAATGCCCCCCCAAACAAGAAGCGAACCATTACCAGAATGCAAGCCCCGAGCATATTCTGAAGTCCAGATGGGCGGACCAAAACTTCCCTCCCCAATGCATTTGTCGGGTCGGGGCGAGCGCTGCACGGGCCCCCCTTGGCCAGAAGTCACGGAGAAGCAGGAGACAGGACAGCGATAAGCAGTGGGAAGGGAATGATTCAGAGGAAGAGGAGGAACAACGGAGGAGGAGGAGGAGGAGGTGGACGACGACGAGCCTGAAGAAGGAGGAGGAGGAGGAGGAGGGGAAAAGAAGGTGAAGATGGATTTTGTATTGATCCAACGGTTCAATACAGAGGAGGTTGCAAAAATTGTGAAGTGAGTTGTGCGCTTGGTGTTTCTTTTGCTTTTGCATGCGCTTTGCGCTATTCGAGAAAGCTGAGCATTCTGGAGGTAGGTTAACCTGGGTGGAGCTCATGGCCCTAGGTGGTTCTCGCAGCCCCGAGAGGAAAGACGTCCACAAGCCACCCTCCTAACCTCCCCATCCTCAATCCTCACCCCGCACCCTTCCTCCTCTTTCCTTCCCCCATCCATCCTCGCGCAAATCTCCTTCATCCCTCTCTTCATTCACTCTCCGTCCTCCGCATTCCCTCCTCTCCTCCGTCCCTCCCTCCCTCCTCTCCCCTCCCTCCCTCCCTGTTCTCTTCCGCCCCCTCCCTTCTCATTCCTTCCCTCCCTCCTCCCCTGTCCTCTCTATCCCTCCTCCCGCATCCGTCCTCCCTCCCCCCTTCCCTCATCCCCCCACCCCCTTGCCGGTCACGGGCGCGCTCCTGGTGCCAGGATCGGAGGCGCCCGGAAGAAGGAGCGGGAGAAGAACGAGCGGGAGTGCAGCGGCTGCGGCACCTGCACGACGGACACGAAGTCCAGGTGGGCGACGGGGCTTGGCGGGAGAGGCGGGCGAGGATGATGTGAGGGAGGGAGGGGAAGCGAAGGAGGGGGAAGGAGGTGGTCGAGGATGGACGGAGGGAGGGAGGTTCTAGGCCTCTCAGATGGGATCGGAGTAGATGGGGTCGGAGGACCGCGCCGCATCGCCGATGCACCGGCGATGCGGCTCGATGCGGAGCCCGATTCCCTCCACACCAACGTCGCCGATGCATCGCCTTCGTCGACGATGCATCGCCGGTGCATCGCCGGTGCATCGCCGATGCATCGCCGATGCATCGCCAATGTATCGGCGATGCGGCGCGATCCTCTGACCCTATCTACTCCGACCCCATCTGGGAGGTGTCTACAAGAGGTTGGAGAGAGGAGAAGCGGCACCATCACCACCGGCGGGCCACCTCCAGCGAGGAGGTCCAAGATACCTCTCCGAGCTGGAGGTTGGGGATGTCTCGAGCGGGGCGCCGCACAGGAGGGGAACCACGCCACCAGGAGGACCCTACCGTGCTCTTCGCGGTGGTGCTGGTGCCGATTTTCACTGTTCCTACAACCCTCGTCAAAATTAACCTCAAAAAGGTCTTACAAAACTGAACTGTTTGTGGGGAGATTCTGGACAGATTAGCAGTGACTGCGAGGTACTTGTAGGCGCCGCCACTCCTGGTCAGACCACTTTCGCCCTGGCCCCGACATTGGAGGGGCGTCTATCAACATTGAAGGGCGCGCCGACATCGCAGGGGCGTGGTCGCCATTTTTGAGGTTAATTTTGACGATGGTAGTAGGGAAGGGCATGAGGGAGGAGTTGAGGGAGGAGAGGATGCACAGAGCCCGACCGAGAGGAGGGAGGAGGGGTGCAGAAGGAGAAGGGAGAATGGCAGAACGTTACCCCGCACCTGAGAGCCAGCGCTGGCGAGGTTCTGCACCACGTGCGGCCAGGAGCTCGAGATGCCGAGGGTGTGCTCGGGGTGTGAGGAGGCATCCTCCTGCACGCGGGAGGAGCCAGGGCAGGGTGGCGGGAGCGGGATGGGGAGGGGATGGGGAAGGGGGGTGGTGAAGGGGCCGAGACCCACTCACGTCGTGAAGAAATCACGGCGACAGGGTTTCGGATTATTTTCTGCATACGGGGGCCCCGGGACGGTCAGAAAACGATTTGTGATGAGAAATCGGTTCAGGGGACGGCCCGGGGCCAGTGTTTGAAACAGCAACACCAAAAACACGACGTCGGGGGAGGGGGGGGGAAGGGAGGGGGAGGAGAGAGGGGAATGGGGAAATGTAGGCGCGCTCGTGCCATACCTGACGTCCAACCCTTCCACCCATCCCTTCCCATTGCGCTGATGTTTCACTATGCGCCGACGAGGGCGTCCCAAGATGGCCCCACCGCTGCCTCGGACAGGTTCCGGGTTATCTCCTAAGGCAGCATAAGCGTTCCCCAGCACGGCATGAAATTGCCCCAGGATGGGTTTTGGGTGTGGTGGCGATCGCCCGCGGCCCAACATGCGTCCCTTGGTTGCGGTTCTGGGTTTCACTGCGGTTGCGTTCGCGTGCGTTCCTTTGTCACGGTTTCGGCATTGCGAGTTGCCGGTTGCAGTGTGTTGCGGTCGCCCGCGGCTTCGCGTGTGTTCTTTTGTTTCGGGTTACGTTTGCGACCGCCCGAAGGTTGCCATGTGCCCTTAGGTTGTGGTTGAAGGTGAAGGTTGCGGTTACGGTCGCCCGCGGTTCCACAATGCGTTCCTTGGTTGCGGGCTACGGTCGAGGTCCCCCGCAGCCTCAACATGTGTTTCCCGAAGATACCGCTGACGTCAACCAGCCAGTGAGTCGGTAAGCCGTTCACCCTGCGGGCATTGAATTACACCCGATCGGATTTCTCCGGAGCTGGCAGAGCCCTTCTGTTGTCTCACCTTCCTGTGAATATGTTTCTTTTCTGAGTGCGACGCATGCAGAGTGTTGTCTTGAGGCGTCGGGAAGCCCTGCGAATGCCGAGATATGATGCAATGATGGCTTTCGTTTGTAACACGTCGCGGCAGTATCACTGTAAGAGAATGTACATGAGCTCAATACAACGAGCGTCCCGCTGGAGACGAGGGTTGTGTGTGGATGAAGTTCATGATCGGAGCGTGATCTCTTCAAACGCACGGTGCTACTTCATTCGGGTACCGAGCTCGACAATCATTATCTTACATGCCAGTGCCCGCACATAACAGTATGCCAGATCTTAATACTAGAATGCTGTCGAAGTGTCACGCCCGTTTGAATATTGGAGTAATGTTCGATGTTGGGTGGCAGGTAAGAGGTGGTAATGGAAAGAGTAATGGTAGGAGTCGGGACGGAATGCGACGGTATTGTTGCCGTTGCCCCGTATGATGTTCCTCATGTTCGTCATGGTTTTCGTCCGCTCTCCTTCTTCGTCCCCCCTCCGCCTTCTCCATTTCTCGCCCCCTCCTCGTCGTACCCCTTCATCTTTTTTCTCCCACCAGTCCTGCCCCTTCTCCTCCCTCCCGCCACCCCTTTTCCTCCTCTTCTGCGCGGGGGGGGGGCGAGACGCGCGTGCCGAGAGGTGCTCTTGCCGGGAGACACGTTCTGCGCAAGGCACCCGCCGCGCCGTGGCGATTGGGGCATTTCCTTACAATGGTAGAACCACGGTCGCCCAGCGTGTTCAATGGATCGGCAGCATTCGATGTTGATTGTGTTCGAGATTGCGCTCGTGGACATTATAGCCAGTCGCGCATAGACCAGCAATTTCATCCGTAGCCGACCCCCTACTATGTCGAATCGCCAATTTGAGATGTTCCACATCCTCGTGTGCCTCTTGTCCCTGATCTTCCATCATCCTTTTCCGTCTTGCCCTCTCCGTACCCACCTCTTCCAGTCCCCCACGCGAGTTTCAGACGGCCGCCGCTCTCGCCAGAGTTTCAGCGCGTGCCAGGTGTGGCTGCAAGAGCGGGCCGCAACGTGGCGGGACTGTATCTGCGTTCGAGGCGCCCCAGGAGGTAGGAGAGAGCGATGGAATTCCGAGGCGGTTGGCAGGAGGATTCATACTTACAAAGCCACGTTTTGCGTGGTAAGGGTGGTGGCGGGGAGGAGGGGCACTGTGTTATGTTTGCGATTGCTTCACGTCGGGTTCACAATCCTGAAAGCACCTTCCCATTATATAGGCTAGCAAGCGTGCAGTTCGACATCGACCTTCATGCATGATATTTTATTTAGACGTAAGCAGTACTATTGATGTACATCTGCCTGCAGCAAGTCCCGCCACCGTGCCAGCCAGCATTCTGGACGGCGACTCCTCGGAGGGGCATAGGAGGCCGTAGCGTGTGACAAACTCGCGCTCCCAGGCTTGGGAAAGCCAGAATCGGTGACACACTCTTCCGCGTAATGAATGTCGGAGATTATCTTCTCTTCTCTTCTTCGTCGTCTTCTTTCCTTTCCTTTCGTCCGTCTTCTATTGGGTTCATGTGGTGCAGTTTTGGGCTCTCTTGAGCTCTCTTGGAGCTCTTTTAGGCAGTCCTGGGGCCCGCTTGGCCGTCTAGGGGGTCTTTTACACCCGTCTTCTAACGCGGTCGTGGTTCCTTCCGGAGGCCCTCTTAGGCTAGTTTTTGGCTCTCTTTGTGCCTTCCTGGGCGAGGCCGTCTTGGAGGATGATGGGGCCATTTTCTGGCCCTTGGGCTGTCTTGGGGCCATCTGGGGGCAGTGCTTGTGAGCTGAAGGGAGTTCGAAACTGTGAAGCCTCCCAAATATTTGAATCAACTTGACATCAACCTGTTGTACCTCTTCGGGCCCAACTGGAGGTCCGAAAGATAGTCGTCTGAGTGCGACGAGGGGGTGTTAGGTTATGGGGTGTTCAGCCCTCCTTCCTCCCACCACCTCCCAAAGTCGGAAAGAGCGTCGTCTTAGTACGTTGGGAGGAAGTCGACGACGATGTCGACGACGTGTCCACACACCACCATGGATGTACGGTGCCAATCAAAGCGGGAAGGCTGACAGGGATGACGAAGAGATGGCAGGAGGAGAAGCGTGGAGGAGGATGAGGAACAGCAGCGGGGCGGAGGACGAGGAGAAGGAGGACCAGCAGCAGCGGAACAGCAGCGGAGCAACACCAGCAGCAACAGCGAGGATCCCCTTCTCCCCCCTCCCCCCTGTGCCCTTCTCCCCTTTCCCTTCCCCCTCTGTTTCCCCTATCTCTCCTCAGCCATTTTGGCTCAAGACTCCATGTCGCCCAGCGGCAACGTGGAGACCGCTAGTCCGCGGATCGCTCCAAGTGATTTTGTGAGTTCCTGCTGGAGCGGTCACACTGTGAGGTCCTGCTGGAGCACATCTGTTTCTGGTTGTCTTGCGAGAAGCCGCAGGTCTGTTGCCAGTGGATGCGTGTATCCCCAGACTCGCCGCAATGGCGCCGCCAGGCTCCCTGCTCGCAGGGCCAAAAAAACCGACATGGGGGTGCCCCAGCTGCGGAGTATCGACGAACTGGGCGTGCAGAGTCAAGTGCAGGTGCGGGGCATCAGCACCCCAGCACGTTATACAACGAGCCCGTAAGTTTGCAGCTCAAGCCGAGGCGTCTACGCAGGCTCCCTCCCGTCATGTCGGCGGCAGCGGCTTGGGCTCGCCATCACCGGCACCATGGAGTGCGGAGTATAAGAAGCTGTAGGCGAAAAGGTGCTGGACACGGGCAGCCAGACGTACACGCACATGAAGAGGTGGCAGACGCCGCCAAGGACGAGAATTCTGCCAAGCGCACGGCACTGCAGAAGCAAATCACGGCGCTCGAGCAGTGCATCAAGAGCCTCACCGAGTGCGGGGAGGGCGAGTCGACCACGTCGCTCAAGTTGCAGTTGGACGAGAAGCGGGTGCAATTGCGTGCCCTGCGCCCTCCTGCCACCGTCCACCGCGCCTCCCAACAAAAGCTGGAGAAGTGTCGGGCGCAGCTGGTTCGCCACAAGGAGGAGCTGGAGTCTCTCGAGGTGAAGCTGGTCCGGCTCCAGGGCGACACTGCTGGCAAGAAGGCGGTCATCACCACCAAGGTCGCTGAGATGGGCACGATTGCAGCTCAAGTGGCGGCGAGCGCGGCCGAGCTCTGCCCCCACCGGCGGTGCCGACGTCCACGATTCCCGAGGACTTTTTCGAGAAGGCGCAGGAAGATCCAGGCTTGGCGAGCGACCCAGAGTTGGCGGAGTTCCTCAAGCAGGTCGCGGCCAGTGACTTGTTTGCCAGGCTGTAGAAGCTGCTCCGCGGCAACCTGCAGGCCAAGCTGCAGGAGCAGAACCCCGACATCCAGATGGGTGTTCCCCCAGGTGGTCCCCCGGCCGCCCAGAAGCCGGCTGCGCCTGCTGCTGAGCCTTCTGTTCCTGGGGTCGGCGTTGCTGGGTCCGCTAGCCAGAGAGTCAAACGCCCTGCCGAGGACTACACCAGCGAGGACGTCAAGCAGTTGTGGGCAAAGCTTTCGCAAGGCGAGGGACAGCCAGGATTGTCCCGAGAGGATTTGCTGAGGCTCGTCAGTGACATGCAGAAACACAAGCCCCGACGTGTCGAATGGCGTCGGGTGTTGAGTACCACCTGCCGCGATTGAGTGGCCTCCCTGTTGCAGCCGGCCGCAGCAAGGGCGCAGAGGCGCCCGTTGCGGAGCAGCAGGTGCGGCCGCGCGAGACCTGCAATGCCAATCTGGGGAACAGGACCTTGAAGAAGCGGTTTGAGAGGACTCGCGCGCTGGTGGTGTTAGCGCAAGAGATCGGCTACCACGACTGGGAGGCCGAGGAGCAGTGAAGTTGGGCCGGCCGGCCGGGCTGGCAAGCGATCATCGAGCCAGGCGACCAGACCGCGGGACATTTGCCAAGCGCGGGAGTCGCCGTGTTTGCGAGGACGGCCGTTGGTCTGCGACGTCCGCCAGGTCGTAGCTTTCTGGCTCCACGGCGCGTGCTGCACGCGGCATTGGACGTCCCGGGATGGCCGCCCATGAGAATTTCCAACTTGTACCTGCACTGCGCCGGGGGCATGACGGTCAGGAACGCGGCCATCTTGGGCGCGGTCGGCCAGGCGTTGGCGGGGCAGGTGTTGCCGAGCTTCGTCATCGGCGACTGGAACATGGAGGCGGCGGTCATCGGGGCGGAGCAGCTCCCTGCGGCGGCCCTGCTCACGATGGCGGTGCCCGCGGCCAGCGCGTGAAGGGCGGCAGCCGCGTGCAGCACCATCGACGAGTTACTCTGGGCTCTCGGCGGCGGCGCCGCGTCTGGCCCAGCGCGCGGGCGAAGCCATGCCACCCCGACACATTCCAGATGGCGGCGGCAGGAGAGAACATTCGTATTCTCGCATATGTTGCGGTGCCCAAGCTTGCGGCGGCAGTGACGGACACACGCCGTCAAGATGAATATTGGAGCTGCGAGGCGCGGCCCGCGCAGCAGGTCGTCGCGATGTCGAGGGAGGCGGACGCAGCTGCAGCATGGGGCATGCTCACTCATGCGTGGGGCTGGTTCGCCGTGAAGGCCGCCGCGAGGATCGCGCGCGCGATGGGCCCCCAGCTGGCGCATGCTCATGGCTTGGTTCGGATCTCGCGGCCCGGCTGGGTCAATGTTATGCGCGAAGGGAAAGATGCAGGGTTGGCGCGAGGGTCGCCTTCGACGTCTTGCGGCCCTCGGTTCGGGCCAAGAGCGCCAAGTACACGTGCTACCAGAAGTTTCTGGTCAAGACCTTGGCTTGCGGCTTGCGGTGGTTGCTGGACCCGCGAGCGGGCCCGACTCCGCGGGTGCGAGACCGACGGGAAGTGCGCCTGTGGCCAGGCGGATACCATCCACCACAGAGCGTTCACCTGCATGCGCCAGGACATCGTGGCCACCAGGGCCGAGCCCAGTGTGACGGCGGACTTCGCGCAGCAGGGCATCGACGGCGAGGGCGCGCGGTCGCTCCTCCACGGCAGCTTCGAGTGCCAGGGCGCCGACCTGCCGATGCTGGATTATGGCACCGAGGCGCGCGTCGCTGACGTGGAGGGCCAGCCGGTGGACATAGAGGCGGGGCAGATGGTGTCCCACGCCTGCCCCGGCCGCCGACGGCTCGTGCAGCAAACCGGCGTTGCTGGAGTTCCAGCGCGGGGGCTGGGCCGTCGTCGTGCTGGACCCTTCGTCGACCCTCTGCGCGGCGCCGTGCCAGCTGCAACGCCGCAGAGCTCAGTGCTGGCTGAGCTTCTTGGGATGGGATGGCCTTCTCAGGGCAAGTTGCAGATCGACCAGCTGATCTCTTTCTTGATTATATGGGCTCTGTCCGCGTCGGCCAGAAGTCTCATTCCCAGCAGGCGATTGACAGATCAATGTATGCATGCGCGCAAGTTGCCGTTCACAGCTTGCCAGGAAAACAGCACATCCGCAGTGTAAGCCATGTAGAAGCGCACATATCAGGCACGGAGCATGAGCAGCTAGGGCCCGTCGGGCGCCGCCAGATTCATGCAAATACTGTAGCAGATGCATAGTCAAAGCGAGCGGTGCAGATCCATCCCAATCGCCCTTACTAGCTTCTTGAGGCCCTCGAGGGTTCCGAGCTGGACTGCGCCGAGCTCGTGAAATTAGCAGTTTCTGTTTCGCCAGTTTTCGAGCAGGAGGAAAGTGGCAGAGGCTCTCCGTGTCCGTAGACAAGGCGGGAGGGCTGGCAGGACTGGTGCCTCGCATCGTTTGGGACCCAATGCCGAGCCCGCCTGATCATCTTGAAAGATTCCCAGAACAAGCCCCTGACGGGGTGCCGTGGGATCCCCGATTTCCTTAGAGCCTTCTTCCGCTCCCCTTAGGGTCAGCAGCTAGTTGTTGCCCACCAGTCTGGTAGTAGATGTGTTGTCCCTCGGGCTTGTCACGGACTCGGCGCGGTAGTGCCCGAGTCTGGGGCCAGTGTTGGTTTTCGGCTGTTTGATCCTTTTGAGCAGTCTGATAAGCCAGTGTTTGCGTGTGCTGTGCGGGGCTAGGGCCCAGCAGAGGCGTGAACTGAAGCTTCGAAGCCCCTGCTCCCAGCCCACCTCAAAGGGGATCGAGGTGTTGAGACTCTTCGTAAAGACGCGTGCCCTCACAGGGGGCTCGCCAAGCAGATTTTGTCGGCACTCCCTCTGGACCGCGTGGCGCGGACACAGCGTGCCCCGACGGTTGAAGCCACCGGAATTTCTGTGAGGTCGAATATTGATGCAAGTCGCTCCTTTGAAGCTCGGATGGCCGCCCTCCACGAGCGAATTCGTCAGAAGGAGTTGAATTCTCGAGCGAGTTCCAGCGAAGGGCTCGCAAGCGAGTCTCGGGGTCCATATGGTCATTGAACTGTGGATGCAGGTACTGGCATTGAAATTCGTGACATGTTCGTTGCGTCTTGTGCCCCGCGGTCCAGCTGGTGGCGAAAGTGGCGAACTGGTACGGGCTGAAAAGACTCTTAGCGTCACCCTGCTGGAATTTAATTGTCTTGGCTGAAGCCTGGTCCGCCTCTCGGCGCTTGTCTTATCTTATCTGTTTCCCCCATCCCCTTCCTCTCTTGCCCCCATCCGTCCCCCTCAGCCCTCCACCTCCCCGTGAGTATTCCCGGGCTCTCCCTTCCTCAACCCCCTTATGCCTTCCCCCTCGTCATCTTCTCCATCCGCTCCTCCCTCCTCCCTCCCGAACGTTCGGCGAGCCTTTCCGAGTTTCTCTTTCTTTCTCCCTACACCCTATTCGCCACCTCTCGTTATCCGAGCCTCACCGAGGTGCACGCGCCCTGGAAGCTCTCCCCGCTGGAAAGCAAGAGCCTGCTCCGGGCTGGATCTCGACACAGTCTCAGATCCCTGTCCACGGAGAATTTGCTGCAAGAGGGCCAGGGGACTTCGAGGACTGGCACGGGGAGGAGAAGGAGGAGGAGGAGGAGGGAACCGAACATTGTCATGGTGATGATGATGATGATGATGATGATGGCAGCGGCGATGGTGACGATGAGGAGGGAGAACGACCCGTATGAGGATGATGAATGACTGTGGTGAGAAGGAAACGGGTTGGTGAGGAGGATGGGCGTGATAGTGGTATGGGTGATGGCGACATTGATGTGCAGATGCCGCGTGCGCGGCGGCTCTCGTCCTTGTTCTCCTTGTTCCTGCTCGACGTCCTCATCATCATGGCTCTCATCCTCCTGCCTCCTCCTCCTCCGCCTCTTCGTCGTCCCTCCCCCTCCTTACTCTTTGTACATCCTGCCTTCGGCGCCATCTGGTCATTCCAGCTCGGCTCGGGTCCTCCTTCGTTCCAGCTCGGCGGGAACGCCGTGCGATCCGTCGGGCCCATCCTATTATCCTCTCTCTCTCTCTCGTTCTCCCTCCCCCTCGTCCTGCCTTTCTCTTCGCCCTCCTCTCCCGTGCAGTCCTCGCTCGCCCATCCAGTTGTGAGATGCAAACGGAGAAGCCGCGTGGTGGCTGCTGGTGTTCTGAGGATTTCTCGTCTCACCCTCCTTGCCCTCGTCCTCGCGTTCCCACCCTTGTCCTCCCAGCTGTTGGCTGTGATGGTGGTGACGGTTTTGGCTCGCTGCTGACTCGGCGACGTGCTAACGTCAAGCTGAACCAAACACCTAAGCCAACGCCTGTTCCCGCGTGCACATGACTCGCGGCAGGGTCACTGTTCGGTCCAGGCTGCCCCGTAGCCAGGCACAGACGAGACACGTCATCCGCATCGCAATTCCGGCAGGCGGGGGAGTTGCAAAGCATTTTGCGGGGTCCGGAGTCAAAATCATTACAGACAATTGGATTTTAGTTGTCTTCTCCAGAGGCCAGACTCTTCTAAGCAATAAGCAAGAGGCAAGGATACGGGCCATGTGGTGTCCATGATTGCACGGTGCTCCAGGCGTCGACCATTCAGGTTGCCAACATGTTCTCGTAGTAACCAGTTGCCCCTGATAATCACACCCGTGGGGATACTAACCTTTTAGGTCCTGTTGGGGTAAT